ATTTTAATGTCATAAGGCAGTGAAAAATTTTATGCCGAATTATTTCATTACAACAATATCATTGTAATGGTTGATAAAATCTAATAGTAAATTGGATCTTATCAATCGATACCTGGAAATCAATCATAGCCTTCCAATATTCAAGTGCAGAATACTGGAAGCCTATGATTGATTATCGATTGATATCTCTCCGATTGACATTCATTTTTCTTTTCTTTTTCTTCTCTGTCACTTCTGGTTCTGTTTTTGAAAATAATATCTTTTTGGATGATTCGCTCAGTATTAACCATAAAATTAATACTGATTGTTTTAATTACATCGTACTATAAATTCTACGTTTACAGCTCGAATGTGTGTCCATCCGTATTGAAACAGTTCGATCACAAAATAGTTCATATTAACTATTATATGGATTTTTCATATGCAAATAATAAAAGCTTTTTTTTTTTGGAAAGAAAAAAAAATAAAAAAGGAAAAAGATCTTGTTCATTTATTATTGCATGTTAATTAATTAATCATTCAAGATAAATGAATGAGATTAAGATGACAAAGTCAAGAAATATAACTGATAATGGAAAGCAGAAAAAAAGGGGGAATTAGAAGAAAAGAATGGAAAATGAATTGGGTTATCAATTTTTCGTCTAAATATCTTAAGATCATCCACTGATCTTGTCATAATTGGCAATAATATGAAAACACATTTTTCCACCACATTAACAGCTACTGATTATAATGTTCATTATCACGTAAAAATTGATGTTATCATTGTTATTCTTTCAGTTATCTCCAGTGTTAATATGATACAGGAATAATTGATCCAAAAGATCGAATTTCGGATGGTAAATCGTCTCTCCCTTTCTTCCAGACGCATTCTTAGTGCGACAGCAATTACGTTTCTTTTTGTCACTATTAATAGGTGATAACTGATGATAAAACATTTTCAAAACCGCATAAAACGTTAAAAAAAAGAAATAAATTGGTGGAGGCCTGCAATTAATGAATTTTATTTTAAAATATCTAATTCATACCAAACATCACATTACTTGCAATCTTTTGATACCACAGAATAACCAGTTAATTTCAGTGTTTACTTACAAAATCAATGCATGATTTAAGATTTGAAAAGTTAAAATTTGAATGAACCATCGAAGTTTCATATCTATCAATATGTCCTTCATCAACACTGTGCAAATTCCAATGTAATAAATTCATTTTAGCTATTTTGATTTGCAATAATTAATAATAAACGAGGAAAATGTAAAGAAATAGAAAGAAAATTCCAAACAAACTTATTCTATCACAGAGAATTTTTTGATGAAAAAAAAAAAAAAGAAAATTAATGAAACAAAATTGAAAAAAAAAAGATTGAAAATGCAATAATTTATATTTTAAACTGTCAACTACAAAAATGGTTAATGCGTTATTTACGTGAATGTTTAATATGTTATTTAAGTGAATGCTATGTTTTTCATTTTTAGCAGAGATGAAATATCTCTTCCAAAGAAGTCATAGAAAATCTATCCTTAGAAATCTATTCTTTTCTTAGAATCTATTCTCGTTTTTTTTTCTTGGAAAATATTTTCGTAGAAATCATAGAAAACAAGTCATAGAAAAACGTTTCCCCATCACTTGACAGAAAGCTCAATAATGGATATTATAGATTAGCAGGACAGTTTTTGCAACTACCGAGAGCCCTTAATAACCACGAATTCCTTGAAAATGACCGCCCATTGCGAACTCCGCACCTCCGCGAATCACTATAAAGGTTTGCATCGGCCAACTGTGAAATACCCGACCGGTCCACAGTGTGTCAGTGGTGGGTTGCTTCATGACATCTTTTCATTTTCGGGAAATGGGTGGTGCGTACGTGTGACGTGACTACGTCATTATTGTTTTTTCTTAGTTAGAACCACAAAAAAAGAAAATATTTCTTTCAAATATGGTATTTTTATATAATATTTTACTTAAGGAAGACGTTAAGTGTCAACGCTGTTTTTTTTTTTTTGTATATTAAATATAAGTGGTCTAAAAAAAGAGATCTTTCGCGTGGTGTCACGTAACATTTGGCACAAGTGTACGTGCAACATTTATATTGTTTTCTTCTTTCGTTTAGCATAAATCTAAAATGTTAAGTTTCAACAAAAATCGTATTCGCTAATTGCTTACTATTTATCTAAAGGAGGGGAAAAAAGAGAAGCTGAAGGATAAATTTTATGGATTACTAATATCTGATTGTAGGTGAATTAAACGATCTGATATATAATCGATGATGGCTTTAAGGCAACGAAAACTGAATAATTGTAAATTAAAAACCGGTGATGATGATTGTGTGAATTTGTCTGTGGCTGAATGTAAGTCAAAACTGTTGAAATTAGAGGAATGTGAATTTTTTTGCTCTAAAAATATATTGCAAATTTTGTCCTGATGAGATTTTAATCTCATCCGATTATTTGGTTATAAGTGTTGAAACAATAACATGCCTAAATGGGATATTGTGTTATTTTTCACTCATTCAAAGTTCTCGTGAGTGATTATGTTCGAAGAATTGTCAGTCTGTTTCACGCAAAATTTTCATCAGTAATTGCTACTAAAAGCATAATTTATTTATGATAGTTTTTTAAGTTATTTTATGGAGCTTATACCCTTTTTAGACGAATTTATTTTTTTGTTGTTTTTTGCAGATCAAATTATCGAAGCTCCCGACTGGGATGATGGTGCTATTTGTGATATAAAGAGAGATTTAGCAAAAACGATGGTTCAAAGGTTATTCCACTGGGGTCCACTGGCAGTGATTTGCATAACATTAATTGTATGTTCGAACTATATTTATGTAACGATTCATGAGAATATAGTGAAATTGTAGCACGGGAATATTTTCCACTTATAAATTAGGGAAGAATTTCAGTTTTGTTAATTTTTCAATTTTTCCAGGTTTTTATTTCCTCGTTAATCACATATGATATATGATTTATAATATATATCACATATGATATATATTATAAATTTCATAATATAAAAATTCAAAATTTTCAGATTGGAACTGCTACGACATATGTACATTTGCAGTGGTGGCCTTTAACTACAGTAACTTCATTCTTGCATCTTTCACTTTTTTTACTCTTCAATTACCTAACCTTAATTAATCTTAGTAGATCATCATTCTTTGGTCCAGGATATGCTCCATATAACTGGAAACCACCGAGAAAGGTATGGATTATTTTCGGTATCCTATTTATTGGGCTGGATTAAAGAAAATTAGAATTGTGGGAATTATTTTCGAAATGTGAATGCAGCTGTCATCGTGCCATCACCATAAAACGATGCTGTTGTAGCATCGTTTCTAATTAGTGCATTTCTTTAATTTTTTGGAAATAACGGTAAAATTTTCAAGAATTCAGTTTAATAATTTTATGAGGATGAAAATCGATTACAATATTGTCGAATATGTGATGGCTTTAAAATGCCTCGTTCGCATCACTGCTCAAAATGTGGTCGCTGTGTTTGCAAAATGGATCATCACTGCCGTAAGTTTAGTTTATGAAAGTTAGAGATGAAAAGCAGCTTTAGGGAGAGATAAACTGTGTTCAGAAACTGTATCAGATTATCATTTGAGCCGTCTTGGATTAAATAGAATAAAAACTAAATAGTAGCTTAGCTAGGTAAGTTAAGTTGTTTGCCTCTTCAGTCTCTTTATATTCTACAAATTATACTTTTAGCCTGGATAAATAACTGTGTTGGACATCGAAATCATGCACTATTTGTGCGCTTTCTTGCCTCGGCAACACTTGGTTGCATTCACGCTGCTATAATTTTATCTTTTGCTTTATATCGTTTTTTATTTCGGGTAATTTTCATACTCTTTTTGCATAGTCTTGCAAAGCTTATCGACAGTGAGTATTTATATAGCTTTATGCGCATAATTTTTTTATTATTCTTTCTACGTCATCAGTATTGTGATTACATTGTTGTGCAAATGTAATTCGCAAAAGAATTATTTTGGACAACCAAAAATTATTTATTTCTTATTAGTAAATTCTTTACCATATTTCTCATTTTATAGTAAATTGTATTAAAGTACGATGGACCATTTCTCCGTTTCTTATTTCTGCATTCGATAGATCATGCATTAATTAGGATATGTGATCTCGGTCTTATTTCTTCCGGAGTCTTAAATTTGATTTGAAAACGATTC